AATAAATAATACTCGATTGGACGTATTTGTAGGTATAAAAAACTTTTAAAGAATTAGGTATAGAAAATCTTATCAAGAATCTATACCTACTTTCTATTTAATGAATTAAACGATGAGTTAAAACGGCATGTCTTCGATAAAAATGAGTAATATACAAGGGCCCATTAAAAAAATAACAGCCAAATTCCTTGATAGTATTTTTACACCAATTTTTCATAAGAAAAATGTGTGTTATAGAAGTAAGGACATTGAGAAACAATTTGCATTCAAAATTGTATCATTCTTTGCTACATACATCACAATCATTTATAATCTTGACTTTAAAAAATATTATAGAGCACGTACACGTATTAATTAATTGAGGAAATGAAGTCTTCAAATTGTGCTAATTCGACTCTAATTTCGATCTTCAAATTTTATATTTTTAAAAAAGTTCGATAATATAAGAGAAAATTTCTGCCACTAAAACATTTTATTGATAACAATTATATACATAATTTAACAAATGGAAGGGTTCTAAATAAGTTTATCGTATTAGAGATTTGTGTGCATTTACAACAACAAGCTGAGAATATGCTATAAAGTTTATATATGCTCTTTCTGGTCAGATGGGTATTATTAATTTATTTGAAATACTTTTTAACTTAATTTAATTTTTAACAAATTTATTTGTTTCATAAGACCATTTTTAAGTACGAAAAGTCAGATTACGTATGACTTAAATTTAACGTTTTTTTTTTTCGGTAATGTTCATCAACGAAGATGTTCATTTTATTTTAGAAATGCCATATACAAGGATAAAAATTAAGCTATACACATATAAACATCAAAAAGCACCATTCTCAAATACTAATAAGTGAGTCTCTCATGAAGTTACTTATTGTTGTAGCTTATATCTTACCTTACAAGATCTTTTCTTATTCATTATTTATTGTACACTTGCTCAATTAATTAAAAAAGGTGGCTACGTTGTTTAGATATAATTGCTTTTCGTTTGACGAGGTAAAACTGCCACCTTAAATCTGATTAGATTAAAATTATAACATTTTTTTATATGAAATATGAGTTGCAAAAATATTAGTTACAATAAAACCTTCAAATTCTAGAGCAATAAATGTAATGGTTATATAGCCAATACTTCAATAGTACATAAATACATAACGAAAATATTAAAATTCTTAAAGTTTCAAAAGACTAAGCTAATAGGCTTTTGATAAAAAGAAAATGAGATAAGGAAAAATACTTTAGAATATAAAGTTTTAAGTATTTATTAAATTGCTCTTCAACATGTTTTTAATTAATTAATTAATTTCGACGAAAAAATTAAACAATGAATTTAAATAGGTACTACTAAAAGCCAGTAAAAATGCCGATTAATTAAATAAAAGAAAAATAAATCTGGTTAACAACTTATATTTAACCTCATCAAAGAAAAGAAATAATAAAATAAATGTATATACAAATACATGCTCCTATTTTCTGATAAAGAATAGTTTTTAAAGTATATTAAAAATAATAATATCGTACAGGGGACATGAGAGAGAGAAAATCCGATATAAATAAATAATTCCTACACATCTTCAAAACT